CCTGAGCCAGTCATTCATCTGCAAGCTTCAGCAGTATCAGGAAGTTCATTGTGTAATGCTCGGTGTCCCACCAGATTTTGCGGTAATTACATGAAACAAATATCTTAACTGTATGAACGTGTCTGATAGCTGTATATTTGTCCTGGGTGTAGTTTATATTCCTGGAACTCTTGACACTCTCTGTCTTTCTCTCCGTCTTTCCCTGTAGATAATGAAATCGAGCTTTGTGGTATCCTTGCCATATCCTTTCTATTTCCGTTGGTGGTTTTTTGCTGGGGAACTTGGAGTATTGATATGCGAACAGTCAGAGCTCAAGTGATACCCTCCGGAGGACAGTTCTTTGCATACATGTCCCTTCAGGTTATAATCTGTTATGTTAATATTACTTTAATGTGCTTTTATACCTTGTGTGCCTTTGGTGAAAACAAAAAAAAAAAGGACAAGCCAGCCATCTGCTTGCTTCCACACATTTGGGAGATTGCAAGGCTCCTCATCTGTCTGCAGGAAAGGGTACAGAACCCATCAGAAAAGGTCCCAATTACGGCGGAAGAGAGTACAAAGAGACAAATTCCCTCATGCCAGGTCTTTTCCAGCTATGAGGATGGAAAAGCACTGAAGAGAAATCTGTCTCTGACTGTGAGAGTTTGTTGCTAATGATGGTTGGAACTGAAAGACAATGAGGAAACCAGACATCCTACTCGCCTCTTTTCAAGGTATAAACCAAGGAAAGGTAGTTTAAGCAGTTGGCCTTGTGGGATGTGAGCAGAAGTTAAGTTAAAAGACTTCTTTGAAACACAGGCCTGTTACAGCAATATTTTTTACAGTATATTAGATATCACAAAAATGACTAACTGATAAGTATTTAACAGTGACAATGAACAGATCAGTGTAAATACAATATATTTGGATATTTATTTCACGCAACTAACTTGTGCAGTTACTTTTAAGCAACCGGACGCATGGTGATTTGTACAAAGTGGATGTATAAAGTCAGTTCCCCTCTAGTTCATACAAGTGAAACAACATCTTGTGAAATGTTTTGCTCAAAGTAGGTTTGTGCTGTATTTCCTTAAAATAATTGTCACACTTTGTTTGATTATTTTGTTACAAAATGCAAAGACACTCATATTTATTATATTATATTGTATTATATATATATTTTTTCATGTACACAGTCTGTAACTTTTTTGAAAGAAGTCTCTCATGCTCACCAAGGCTGCATTTATTTGATTAGAAAGTACAGTCAAATTTAAATTGTATTACAGTTTACAATAATTTACAATATTTATTCCTGTAATTCCAAAGCTGAATTTTCACAATTTTCACAATTGTCACATGATCTTTCAAAAACCATTCTAATGTGCTGATCTAAAACATTTATTACATTTATTATCAATGTTGAAAACAGTTTTTCCAGGATTATCTGATGAATTGAAAGTTCATTTTTTAGAGCCTATAAATAACTTTTTTTTTTTTTTTTACTTACCGTCCCCAATCCAATCAATCACAATGTATAGTAGGAGACAATCAGAAAATATATTTAAACTTTTAATAGGACAAAAATGGTCACATGTCTAAGGACCTTAAGCACTTGCAAAAACTGTGTGTGCAGTGTTTATCTGTATTTATTATTTCTTGGGCAAAGTTTGAATGCCATTTTAGGAGCCACTGATTTATTTACACAGATATTTCCAAAGGGTTCAGTTTAACCTGCCTTTTGGTGTTTAGGCTGTGACTGAAAAATAAAACTCTTCTCACAAAAAAGCAAAACACTGACCTCATGGCATATTTTGACAACGCAGCCCTGACAGATGAAACTTAAAATGTGCATATTACAGTATGCCAAGCGAGTATGGATAAGGACTAGCAAATCATTTCGACAGGTAGCTCATTTAGGTATGGATTTGGAGAAGCTAATCGGTTTCTAAATACAACGTGGCTGAAAATATCGTGTGAAGCAGGGGAGGGGTTTCGTTCAGTTAAGAATAGCCTACATGCGCTTAGAGAGGAGACAGGCAACAGTTCGGACAGCAGACCTCACTGTGTCTCCAGCAGACCACATCGCTCCCCACTGTCTCCATTCACGGCATTTACTGGAACCGAGCTTGATTCAAAGGTAAGGCGATCGATTTCATTACTGCAATGTATTTATCCAGATATAAATAATATGTTTAGTACATCTAAATGTCCGACTAACTGATTATGTTGTATAGTGCGGTAATATGGGGACGCGCCAATACGCGCCACGCGTTTGCTGCGTTTTGAGTTATCCTGCGAATCACTTACCTGAAGGACACTTATGTTTCTCGCCTTACAATATAGCGTTAAAATATAATTCATTAATTGATCTTGTGAATTATGAAGCAGTCACGACCGAGTTTTTTCCACAAGTTTAAACTCGTAGATGCGTTCGATGTGGGTTCTAAAATATACAGTACTGTGCGTATCCGACCTGGAATGCGTCGCACAGGGCGCGTTCTTCTTGCAGCAAGACGTCGACAACGTTCTTGCGACGCGTTTTTAAAAGTTGTGCTGTTTTTAACAGTTCTGCCTTCTTAAAGAGACAGTCCAAACCAAAATTAAAATTCTGTTTTCGTTTTCTCAATCTCACGACGTTCCAAATCAGTATTACTTTAATTCTGTAAAGGAACAGTAATGGTTACGCTGAATGACATCTTCAGTCACTACTCGGATAATGAACAGACAACTGTTCCCTTAAAACGGGAATAACGCCAGACGCGACGCACCGGCGAGAGACGTCTGTCTGACCCATGTTTCAATGATAAACATTAGAGCAGACGGAACGCAAGAACGCGTCCTGTGAACCCCAGTGTATTGTTTTGGAATATCATAGTCTGTGATGACCTGCTGATTCAGGTGGTATCAGTTCTGTCATCCATTAACATGATCACATTAATTCAATTAAGTCAGATGTGACATTATGCTGTCTTACCTCAAAATATTTTTTTTCTTTGCCTACTTTCTCGACGTTAGAGCACTCCCTGTCTCCTTTAAAATTATTTTTTTTAGCTCCCCTTACGAAAAAGAAGTTTATTCAAGTGTGCTATTAGTATACTTCTTTTAAACTAAATATAGGAAAGTATACTTTTAGTCTACTTTTTATGTACTTCTCAGAAATGGGCTTTATGTACTTCTCAGAAATATACTTAAAATGACATTTAAGTATCCTTGACTTATACTTAGAAAAAGTCTAAATATATTTGAGCTATACTTGTGTTCCTAGAATCCGTGTTTTCATTGTTATACTGTAGTAGGGGGCGCTAGTACACATCTTCTGTACAGAATTTCCAAAAAAGTGAAGAAGAAACCGAAACAACAGATGTTTCCACATGTATTCGAACACGATCATCAGACATAAAACAGCATCAAAACTGTGTAACTTTATGGAATAAAATGTCGACCAATGAAGAGGTAATAATGGCCGTCAAGCTTTGGGGTGTTGATCGACTCTATCTACGTTTTGATTATCATTCTGAATCCAATTCATAGTCTTTTTTCAGCTTTTTGTTCAAAATGTTGTTTATTTCTTTATTTTTTATTTATGAAACTTATCCACATTCAAGTGTTTAAAAAAAAATGCATGAAGCTAGAATAAAATGTTTTTGTTTACAAGCAGATACCCTGTTCTTTTGATGTTTTGTATGTTCAGATATTCATGTAACAAAATATATACAAATTAATACCTAAATAGGGACATAGTAGTATACTTAAAATATGATGTAAAGTTCACTTAAAGAAAACTTA